GAGTCTTGTTTAATATCATCTTACTAAATGACGAACTGAATTTCGATATTTTGGTTGGCTAAACGAGTCTCAAGGTATAATTGTTGGTGATCTTAATTGTGCAGAAAATGCTTCTGCCTTGTGGTCTGCCTCCGGAAAGAGAAGACGATTAAAAGCATGAAGTGTTTGTTTGTTTTTAACTTGAAGCATGAAGTGTTGTAACCTCAACTTTATCCCTAGCAAGCTTTGTTGAATTCTAGCAACTATTTAATTCTTGAAACGTCCCTGGTCATCTTGCTGATTCTGGGTTTGCAGCTACACAATATTTTAACTTTTTTTTGGATGTGTAGTCTCTGGGTTTGTTTATGTCCATGCTTGCATGGCCTGTGTACAAAATTTGGTGTCTGTTTCCTGCATATTTGATATGCTCCAACAGCCTTTCAAAAAAAAGATAGGTTCCAACAAGCTAAATAACAGGAAATTAAGTTTAAAAAAAATTGCCAACAGAATCATATTCATTAAAAGAATCCGTTTTTGCTCCACAGTTTTCAGGAGTTAAGTCTTTAAGTTTTGATTGTTTAAGTCGGAAGAAGTGCATTGGTAAACTTACACGGTGGCCGGAGTACTAGTGAAATCAGATCAAAGATGGATTCGTTGTTAATTTATTTTATTGGATTTTCTATAAAAACTCTGTTTGGCACAAGGCCAAGCAAAACATTTCATAGACCATACGCTGCTGGTTTGTCTTTCAACATATTAGCTCCAACTGAACTTCAACCAATAGCAATCCCCTAACAAACTTTAACTCACCACTAACAATTTCCCAACCAAAACCTAACAGCTTAAGTGCTTAACAAAGCTCAGAAGCCTATTTATTCCAACATACATAAGTGTTGAATACGAAATAAGAACTGCAAAACATGGATTATAATACTACGCTCAGTGCAAATTTTGCCCCTTGATATTTATCTTTCTCATTTCAATACCTTATATTTTTGTTAATAACGTCCCTAAAGAATACACAACTGTTACGCATTTACCCCAAAGTCTGTTATATACATTAGTTTTTTGGTTACTTGCCACTTTTCTACTAAAGAAACTTTAATGAGAAACAAAAAATCACATGTCAAGTCTTTTAGATTTTATTTATTTTTTTATTTTTTTATTTAATCTTAAATTAATCTCTATTTATTTCTATGTTTTATAATTTAGTTTAATATTATTTATGATGTTTCTATTTAAAATAAATATAAATATTATAATTAATATTGTCCTTAATTATAAAATATAGAAATAAGTAGAGATTAATTTAAGATTAAATAAAATAATTATAAGCCAAAGTGAATAAGAATAAAATCTGAAATACTTGTTGATTTACCATTCCTCGTTAAAGTTAACTGCATTTCTTTAGTCAAAAAGTACTATGTAACACATTTTGCTTAGTTTATTTTAACGTTTGTAATGCCATTGGGGTAAAATTAGTAATATTTATATATATTAGGACATTATTAACAAAAAAAAGTTAAGTATCAAAATGAAAGAAAAAAAAAAGATAAACGTGAAGGGATAAAAGGTGTATTAAACCTAATAATTAATGATAGAGAATAACATCCTTGTCCTTTACAAGCTTTATCGAATGCTGACTTTGCTTTCTAGTAATCTTTCGAAACTCGAAACCCAATAGCTACAAGCAGCATGAGACATTTACGTACGGAAATTGGGAAAATGACTGAGATATTGTTGTGGGAAAAAAAATCTCTATAGGCATATCTAGAATTATTTCTCTATTTAGGGTGAAATCTACAGCAACAACACTAATATTTATGATTATTTGACGTCTTCAGGTCAAACTTAAAGACTCTAGGAGTGTACAGCGTCTTCAGGCCTAGGAGAGACAACCTACTTGTTTCTGCATGGCCTGAAGACGTCATGCACTCCTAGAGTGTTTACGTTTGGCCTGAAGACGTCGTGCACTCCTGGAGTCTTATCAGGTCCGTGGCTGGGGCGGCACAAACTGCTCGACCGCATAGGGCCCTAAAAAATGGGGTCCCAAAAAAGTATATATATAGTGACGTTTTTCTAATAAACGCTACTATAGATGGACCTATTGCGATGTTTTTTCAAAAAACGCCACTATTATTACGGCTTTATTGATAAAACGCCATTATAGATGGATCTATCGCGGTGTTTGTCAAGAAAACGCCACTATTGTTACCCCAAAATCGAATATATCTAGAAAATAAGAGCCTCTTTATAAGAATTTGTACAGGGCCCCCGAAAATCCTGCCACGGCCCTGAGTCTTATCCATTGGCTTGAAGATGCCATGCACTCCTGGAGTCTTTACATTTGGCCTGAAAACGCCATGCACTCCTAGAGTCTTTACATTTGGCCTGAAGACGTCATGCACTCCTAAAGTCTTTACATTTGGCCTGAAGACGGCAATGTAGTCATGGAATTTTTGTGTTGTTACTGTAGATTTCACCTTAGATGGGAAATAATCCCCGATGTGCCTTATCTCGAGAATTTTTTCCACAACAATATCTCGGCAATTTGGACTACGGAAATTTGATATAAAAACAACAAATCATTTTTATGATAAAATCTTTGAAGTTTAGTAACAGTAGGTAGGAAGACCAGCATATTTATACGATTTTTGAATTCAAGTTGAAAGAGTGATTAATTTATTTTTCCAAACTTTCGCTTTTTACCTCCAATTGATTTGATCAAATTAACCCTACAAAGAATACAAGTGGATATAACCTACAAAATTTAAATATAAAAATTTTGATCGAGGAGTGACAGTGTTGGAAGTTAAAATTGAGATACTTGGAAATATTCCTGTAATTAATCTAATCTAATTAATTAAAAACAGTAGATTAATTCCTTGTTTGTCTTTGTTTTGATTGGATAAAGGTTTTTTCGAGCTCATAATAGTTGCAAAAGTATGATTTATGTATTTGAACTGACAAAGAAATTAGATATCTGATTTTTAAAAAATGTATAAATTTAAGGGTTTATTATTTAATTGTCTTAAATGTATGTGTAATCAAGTTGTTTATGTATCTAATGTATAAAAGAGTTTCTTTTATTTGTTCTGACATTCAAGATATTATATTTTAAAGGTTTAATACAAAACAATGTCCAAATTATACATTTTTCTTATTTAAATACTTCAATTTTCTTTACGATAAATTCAAGTGTTTAACGTTACTATTTTAAGCATTTCAGTCGTAATAACCGTTAAAAATATTGTTAAATAACATATATCACATTTATATAATTTTAAATTTTTATCTAAAATAGAAAACCTAAAATTATAATTTTCTTTTTAAAAACCAACAAACCCTAATATCCTTAAAAACCTAAAATCCCTCATCTTTAATCATTTCCCGATCGCCGCTTATGGTATCGATCACTACCAACATTGTCAAATATCCACTCACTCGTTGTCAAATCATCGCTATCGGTCTTTTCATTTGACGTCATACAAATTCCCTAAATCCTTAAACTTGAAGCCCTAAATTCCCCTCATCCAATATTACCGTTATTCACCCAATCAAGCGACCTGTCGTTCACCTAAATCCCTTGCTCATAATCAAGCCACCGTGTAAAATATATCGAGTTTGCATTCTGCGAGAAGCAAAAAGCAGGAGGATGTGGTGATTTTTCCTTGGTTGTTAAAACAATTTTGGCCAACTTAGAAATGACTGGAATTAAACTAGCAACGGCAAGGAATGGCCGGTAATAGGGTCATCGACGAAGAGGTGGGTATATGCCGGCGGCGGGGGTGGTAGCGGGGAGATGACCGACGACCTTAATAAGGGATTAAAATAAGAAATTTTAGGTATTCACGACGTTTGTGAATCCTGACGTTTGCGAATAGAGCAAATTGAATTAAGAGGGTTGTCCTCGCTTCTATAGTACCCGACCTGGATTAGTCGGTCAATAGATCGGATACCAGTGATTAATTCAAAAAAATGATTTTTTTAAATAATATATATTTTTAATTTTTTAAAAATAAAATTTTAAAATTATATAAATATGATGTGTGTCATTTAACGGAGTTTTTTTAATGGTTGTCATTAGTGAGGTACTTGAAATGATAACATTTGTAACATCAAACACCTAGATTGACCGTAAAAAATTTAGTCACCTAAAGGAAAAAATATATATAATTTAAATATTTTTTATATTAAGTTTTTTTTCTTATTATAGGGTAAACTATACTTTTAATATCTAAACTATCAGTTTTATTTTATTTTAGTATCTAAACTTTCATTTGTTTCAAAATAATGCTTAATATTTACTTTTTGTTTTATTTCAGTACATGTCATTAAAAACTTAACGAAAATGTTGAACGTGGCCTTTTTTTAGATAAATTACATCAAAATCATGCCTAATATCTTTCACTCCTACTTTGATCACTAAAATTTAAATTGTTTTAATTTAACTACTTAACTTTTAAATTGCTCATGTTTTTATCACTAAAATTTATTTTATTAATAATTTTTGTGATATGAAATTTATTATTATTATTATTTTATTAATATATAATTAAAATAAAAAAATTAAATTTGAAAGTTAGATTGATTAAATTAGGAGTAATTTGAAAGTTATGTAATTAAAATAAAAAAATAAATTTCATATACCAAAATAGAAGTGAGAAGATAGTTGAGCGATGAATAATGTAATTTACTCATAAAAAAGTGACATGTTGTAATAATTCCGCTAAGATTTTAATAGAGGTACTAAACCGAAACAAAAAGTAAACATTATATATGATTTAAAAATAAATAAAAGTTTAAGTATTAAAACAAAATAAAATTGATAATTTAAATACTAAATATGTAATTTACCCTAAAATGGCAACACATTTTCAATTTTTAATACAAGAAAAGAATAAGTCAAGTCCAAGTCAAAGTCCAGAAATAATGAGGATGGAGAATAAGATCCTTCGGAATTTAATTTAAAAAGGAATTTATTAAATCAAGTTACCGCGTGAACATGGGAATCTCCAAGAATGAATAGAGAAAACGCCCAAGAAGAACAAAGAGCTACAAAGAAAGCAAAGAATAGAGAAATAGCAATGGAAGATATTGAAGCGAATCAACCAACAGGGAATATACAAACTGAAGAAGGGACTCAAGAAGTTAACGAAGCAAACAAAGATCCTCCTAAGAGTCCAGAGAGAATTTCTTATGTTGCTATGGTAGCCAGTGGGTCGAACTACAAGAAAAATCCTCCCGTCAAGATGCCTGAAGAAGAAATAGTATTCCAAGAAGGAGATATCATAATGGACAACTCTGGAGACTTTCCAAGGATAAGCTTTTCTAAAAGAATCCATGACCTGATAGATCAAAACATGAAGCAAGTTATCATTACAAGACTACTGGGAAAAAAGATCGAGTATAAGGCGCTGATAAACAGAATATATGCACTATGGAATCCGATAGGAAATTTTAACTTGATCGATCTTGAGAATGATTACTTTTTAGTGAAATTTGAAAATAATGAGGATTATACGAGAGTGCTTACAGACGGTCATTGGATGATCTATGGAAGCTACCTAACTGTTCAACCGTGGTCAAGAAACTTATCCACATCTGAAAAGCATCCTTCCCAAGTAATTGCTTGGCTGTGTCTACCAGGGCTACCCTACAAGTATTATAATACAATGTTGATTAGAACTATTGCTAATACCATTGGAAGAGTTATCAAAATTGATTATAATACCAAGGCTGGGGAGAGAGGAAATTTGCCAGAGTTGCAGTTGTTATAGACCTCAATAAACCTCTTATTATATGTATGGGGATTGATGATTTTATCCCAAAAAAATTGAATATGAAGGTCTACAATAGATTTGTTTCAATTGTGGTACTTATGACCATGCTAAAGAAAACTGCCAGATCTTACAACAGGATAATCAGATGAATATTGTAAACACTGATCAAGACAGTGGAGCACAATCAACAAAAGATAACAGTAAAAAAATGTTTCGACCCTTGGATGGTTGTTCAACCAAGAGGAAGAAACAGTAAATATCAAAGAAACCAGAATAAAAACAAAGAAGTGGAAAAAATAGCAAATCAGAGATCCAGATTTACACCAATTCAAGAAGAAATGTTGGAGGAAGAACCCAGAGGCAATAATAAAGATGACCAACTTATAAACAATGAAGGGCAGGTGTATAAAATTGACACAAGATCGAACACATCTATAAACCAGATTAATAAAACAAAGGATAGAAGAATGATGGGCAACAAAGTCAATGCAACACGTGAAAAAGAAACTACAGAACAAGATCAAAAGAGAGATAAATTCATTAGCGCTGGGAAAGATAACAACAATCTAATTGAGGTTCCTATTATAGAAGAAGAAACAAAAATGGGTCATGACCACAACAGAGAACAGAATAGTGGAGAAATACAAATCATTGCTAAGAAAAATGCTCACATCAAGGAATACAGATCAAGTTTGGGAACTAGAAACCATGCAACTATTTCAATTCAAGAAAAGGACTACAACTGCAGCCAAACTTCCAGATGGAATTTCAATAAGAAGCCCAGTCATATCTCTAGCATTACAAAAAAAGGTCTGAAAATTAGAAAATCCAGAAATACTATCACTCCTACTGTTCCGATGTTATCCGAATGGATTCAAGAAAATACCATGAACGTAGAGAATTTAGCACCCCCTGATAATAAAAGCCCTACTGCTAATCAGACCCAATTACTAGAACAACCTAGTCAAAGTCAAGTTCAAGAAATTTAACATAGGGGAAAGGAACATACAAATAGTATTATTTCACTCTCTCGAGAATGATGAAGATTCTATTTTAGAACACCCAAGGAGTTGTCAAACCTTCCTTTAGAAGACATTTCAAGGATTGTGTGAATAACAATAAGCCTAAAATCATTACTCTTATGGAAACCCACAAAAGCGGGAGAAGAGCTGATAAAATCATCAATAATATGGGTTACAACAATTCTTTCAGAATTGAAGCGCAAGGGCACAGTGGTGGCATTTGAATTTTATGGGATAATACAGTGGAGGTCAGGATGTTGAATGTTTCTAATCAGTATATACATGCTCAATTCAGACGTAGTAATAGTAAATATTAGGAGTTTTTTACAACTGTGTATGCTAGTCCTAATCCTAGTATTAGAAGTAAGCTTTGGGACCTATTGTCGAAGCTTAAACCTGAAAATAATGCTCCATGGATCATAGAAGGAGATTGTAATTGTATCCTTAAACCCGAAGAGAGACATGGTGGAAACAACCGTTATAGAACTGAGAGCAAACTCTTTTAAGACTTCATTTTCAATAATGAATTGATAGAAGTGAATTATCAAGGGGATGAATTTACTTGGCGTAAAGGGAACCTTTGGCAAAGACTCGATCGTTGCTTGATGAATATGAAATGGCTCGAATTATTTCCAGATACAATGGTGCATCATCTTGACCGTATTGGTTCTGATCATCTATTATGTTACATATTAATCAACAAAACAAAGATAACATTATTAAACCTTTTAGATTTCTGGCAGCCTGGATGGAACACCCGGATTTTGATAATTTTTTGAAGAGAGAATAGGTTAAGCACAATGATTTATTGAAAAGCCTCAACCATATCAAACATAGCATCAGAATTTGGAACAGAGAGACATTTGGAAATATTAATCAAAAGAAGAGAAGAATTATTTCTCGTCTGAAAGACATTGATAAGGCACTTCACAAATATAGCTCAGACAGACTATCAAATATTGAATCCGATCTAAAAATTGAACTTGACACTATTTTGAGACATGAGGAACTACTCTGGGCTCAAAGGGCGAAATGCAAGTGGATTACTCATGGAGATAAAAATACTAAATACTTCCACTCTTGTGCAATAACGAAAGGAAGAAGAAAACGTATTACAACCCTCAAAATTGACTCGGATATATGGTGCGATGACGAGGAAATTCTTAAAAATCATGTCAAGTAGTTCTATGAAAAACTGTTCACTAAAGATCCTTCGATCAATCAAAGTTTGAATAATCAAGGACTTTTCCCGAAACTGAGACAAGATCATTGGAATTGGCTTAATAAAGATTTTGATAATAAGGATATCAAAGAGGCCTTATTAAGTACGAGTCCTCTCAAGGCACCCGGACTAGATGGTTTTCATGCTACTTTATATAAAAAGAACTGGGACACGATTGGGGAGAAGATTTGCTACTTAGTAAATCAGTGTCTTCATGGCGGTCAAATTAATGAAGAGTTAAACAAAACGAGTCTGGTATTAATTCGTAAGGTGGATAATCCTGAAAGAATTACTCAGTTCAGACCCATTAGCCTTTGTCAGGTCATTTACAAAATTATTACTAAAGTGATTGCTAATCGTCTTAAGCCTATTTTGCCTAATGTCATCTCAAACAGTCAAACAAGCTTTGTTCCGGGCAAGGTGATCATAGATAATATAATCCTTGCTCAAGAGGTCATTCACTCCATGAAGAAAAAGAAAGGAAAAAAAAAGGTGGATTGCCATAAAAATTGATCTAGAAAAAGCTTATGATAGATTGGATTGGAGCTTTATAAAGAACACTATGGAGAAGATGGGGTTGCCTAATAAGATCATGCTGCCTATTATGAATTGCATCAACTACTATTCAAATTAACTGGAATGGAGAACTTATCGAACCTTTTAAACCTTCTAGGGGGATCATACAAGGAGATTCGTTGTCACCCTACATTTTTGTGATCTGCATGGAAAGATTAGCATAAGAGATTAAGTTAGTTGTGCAACAAGGAAGCTGGAAACCTATTAAATTGTTTAAAAATGGGCCTAACATTTCTCACCTTTTCTTTGCAGATGATCTAATCCTCTTCGTGGAAGCTGATAATTCCCAAATTGAAGTTATTCAGAATATTCTCAACAGATTTTGTTGCAGCTCAGGACAAAAAGTTAACTTGCAAAAATCCAGCATCTATTACTCCAACAATGTTTATACACAAATCAGAAATTCTATTATCAATAAGCTTAACATTAAGGAGGTGGATAACCTTGGAATATACCTGGGAGTTCCTATGCTACACAATCAGATCAATAAACACACTTACAGCAATATTATCCAAAGAGTAAAGGACAGACTCACAAGATGGAAAGCCAAAGTATTATCCCTGGCAGGAAGAATTATACTCGCCAAATCGGTTATTTCTTCAATTCCTGCATACACTATGCAGTCAATTTTAATACCTAAAGGAGTTTGTAATGAGCTGGAAAGACTTACCATAAATTTTATATGGGGAGATACAAATGAGCATAAAGAATTACATCTAGTAAACTGGGACACTCTATGCATACTTGTAAAAGGAGGGGGTCAAGGATTTAAGAAACTAAGGAGCCAAAATGAGGCATTTACTTTTAAACTTGCGTATAAACTCATTAACAGAATTGATCTTTTGTGGGTGCAGGTGATGAGAAGCAAATACAAGATGAAGGAAGACATACCTGAAGAGCTGGAAAAAAAAGGGTGGATCACAACTATGGAATCATATATGTTCCTTATGGCCTAAGTTTAAACAAAATTTATGCTGGAATATTGGCAATGGAAAACAAGTGGAATTTTGGAGTGACAAATGTCTAGACAGTAAATAACCCCTATCCAGACTATGCATTCAACCAAAGGAAGTGGAAAATGACATATCAAAAGTTAAGGAGTGGATAAACCAAAATGGTACTTGGGACTGAAACAAACTAACAAAGCTTCTCCCGGTCCAAGCCATTAATAAGCTGAAAGTTACACCACCTCTAGTGGAAGAGTACATTATTGATTCCCCGGGCTGAATCCTCTCAGAAAAAAGGGTTTTCTCGGTGAGTTTTGCATACAAATGGATTGGGAATATTAGCAGTATTATGGAAGAAAAGCTATGGAGCAGCATTGCTAAACACAAGAACATTCACAGGGTTAAAAATTCTTATGGCTTATTGGGAGAAATAAAATTTTGACTAATTCGGAAAGGAAACACAGACACATGATGATGGATGAGAGCTGCCCTATGTGTGGGAATGAGACTGAAGACATCAACCACACTCTGAGATTTTGCCCTAAAGCCTTAACTATTTGGACATAATTAATTGATAACATGAATATGAATCAATTCCCAAGTAAGACTATGGAGGAGTAGATCATTGAAAACCTTGAAATGGCCCAATCTCCTACATCAAGAACGGAAAATTGGCCTACCTTCTTCAGTTCCATAATCTAGTATATCTGGAAGAGAAGAAACCAATTAGTGTTTGATTCTGAAATGATTGAAAGAGAATCAATCATACAACAAGCCTATAGGCTTACCCAGGATATTAGAGACTTAGAAATCCTGAACTCGGGTAATAATCAAACCAAAAGAAATACCCATTATAAATGGCAAAAATCAGAGATTGGCTACTGTAAAGTTAACACTGATGAAACTAGAAATCTAAACAATGGTGATGCAATGTGGGAGCAGTCGCTAGGGATTATAATGGTAACTGGCTATGGGATTTGAAAATCGAAAGTTGCACATTACTAGAAGCAGAACTATGGGGAATACATGAAGGATTAAAAACGGCATGAATGAGAGGAGAAAGGAAAGTAATAGTGGAATCATATAGCAAGAAAGCAGTTAACCTGATTAAAAATAGATCTTTTGAACACAGACAATTAACAATCCTTCAACACATAGAGATTTTACTAAAAATAAACTGGGGAGTGAAGATAGAGAACATATCAAGGGAGGCCAACCGGATCACTGATTTTATCGCCAAACTAATGAAGAACCAGTCGGAGGATACTAACTTTCTGCGTAATTACCCTAAGGAAGCTGAGAGATTATTCTAGCTGATAAAACTGGCACCTAAAAGGCCCATTCACCCGTATTCAACCAAAAAAAAATCAAGTTACCGCGTAAGCATGAAAGAAAAAGGAATTTAGAGAAACTACTATCCATAAAGACGGTTCGTTTTTCCGAAGAGTTGAATTGAACCCAAAGAAAGATATGGAGTGTGTTCTTTGTTGGGTTGGTTTTTGGAGTGCTAGCAATTGTGAGTCTGCAAGTTGTGGGATTCTTTTTTGTGTTAAATCGATTGAATCGAAGGATCAAACGAGAATCTCTTGCTGCATCGAATCCCCAGTCCCAACCTTCCTCCGATTTCACTTACAACAAGCAGGTATGGATTCCCCCGTCTTTCTTTCATCTTTTTTTTTTGCTTAGATTTGAACTTGCTTGCATCGTGTTGTGTTAGGGGACTGTTTGGGTTCTTGAATCAGAAAAAGCTCCGGCACCATGAGAGCAGAAGTGAAAAAAGGACTCGCCCTTGGAATTTTCTCCTACTCGAAAGCATGCTAAAATCCTGGAAAACAACTTAGTTTTCATACATTCTGATTCTTCCCGCACTACCATTCCCTTTAAGGGCTGCGTCATAGAGGCTATTTCCGCTACCAATTTAGCCTCAAGAAAATGGTGTTATGCCCTTTGCTTTTACTCTTCTTTCTCACTTCAATGCTCATTGTTCATGTATTTTCGACAATGATTCTTACTTAAGTCTCAACTCTCAAGCTTATCTGTCCCATCCTTTTGCTTCAAGTTGTAAGTTAAAGTTTTGGTTTTCAATCAAGCTTTTTTTGGCATAACAATGTTGACATTGTTAAGAGTTAAGAATATAGGTGTCTGACTTCATTTGTCGCCTTTGAATCATAAAATACCGTGCTGTTATGATATAGCTTAATCAGTTGTTCTAAGTTATGTGCACTTTCAAAATATTTAACTTTGCTTCATTCGTTTGCGTTGTATGAATGGTTTGATAGGGCCACGAGATTTCCAATAAAAGTGGAAAACAAATCTTCATCCATGTACATTGGAAGTAAAACCATTTACCTTAATCTGGAGACTTCTTGGGAGAAGGAGTCATGGTGCAAAGCTCTTCGTCTTGCTTCGTGCAAGGATAAAGAAAAGCTGAGCTGATTTGCTAAGTTGAATGAAGACTTCCATGCTTACTTGGCATCTTTAAATGTTGGATGTCTGTCATTTATGAAACCTTATTTAGGTTTCAGTGCTGAGCCAATGGATAATGGAGGTAAGTTTGATGGTTCTTCATCAAAAAGTTAAATTATTTTGGAGAAAAATTTCCAAATTAAAGCCTGGTATGGAAAATAAGGGAATTTGGACATCGCAAACTGCCCGTGAAGAACGGCAACCATTCCAAGATTAAGTGACAAAGAAAGTACCAAACAGTTCAACCGAAGAAAATATGGCATTTCCATTACCGCAAGGTTTTCCTCGTTCAGTTAGTCAAAGTGCTTCTGTTGCTTCTGATGCTGATTCGGAACAAGACAAATTTAGTTTTGATGAAGGGACACTTTGCTGGAACTTGTTAATTTCTCGAATCTTTTTTGATATGAAAGGAAATTCAGGGTTGAAAAGTTCTATTCAAGCACGTATTCAGGTTGGATGGTCACCAGAACTAGACTTCCTTCCTTCCTTCCTTTCATTTTTTGGGTGCTTGGTACGTATGTTCATGTCATTTTTTGCATTTTGGTTTATTTGTTATTATAAAAAAATGCACCTGGACTTTTGATTTGTTTTCCAGCGAAAATAAGGGAAAAGAAAAACCTATTTTGCTTATTTCAAGTGGGTATTTTGTGTTTCCTGATTCATTGTCTCCTTTATTAGTATAATTGCCAATGAAATTTTGGTTTTTACACAGTATTTTGGTGTCTGTCGACTACATTTCTTTTTTGTGTACTTTTACTGCATCAATGTTTTGATTTAAACATTCAATGGTCATTTTGCCTTCAAGGTATTCATGTAATTAGTTCTTTTGGAAACGTATTTGAATGTACATTGAAGTTGGTTTTTGATTATTTTCATGATTTGATATAACAGAGAACATTGTCCAATATTAGGACCCCTAGTTACATAGGGGAAGTCATTTGAACTGATTTAGACATTGGAAATCTCCCACCTTATATCCATGCAATGAGGATTCTTCCTTCAGACATGAATGAGGTATGTGCATTTGAAGTTGATGCTGAATATTCTGGTGGAATTCTGTTAGATGTTGAGACCAGACTTGAAGTTAGTGACCAAGATTTTAAAAATGGCCTGGTTGCTCAAATTCAGAAACAAATTCTGTTGAAAATGTCTCTTCAGACCTTCTTGAAGGCTTTGAGCATTTTGGAAAGCATTTGAATCTTCCTGAAGAGGATGAGGTCGACCCTAAAGTTGGTGAGTATAAAAATTATAATAATTTTTATACACTTATTCATCAACAAGGCCCAAAATATCTGCATAATGTGTTTTGTTAGTTTTTTCAATTATGACATAATTGTCAAAAATGTGGATTTCTATTTATTTTAAAAGCATTCGGACACACACTGTTGAAGATTAAGTAGCAGCCTCTGTAGAAAGTTGTATAAATCAGATTTGAAGAAATTTCTAATTTGAAAGCCTTGTTGACTCCAAATCCCTTCCCTGGTGTTGGCATGTATTGATGTCTTGCTGTAATGAAGCCTCCCTTAGTATAGGAGGTTTTATTTTTATTTTTTTGGAATGTTAGTATAGGAGGTTTTATGTGACCAGGATAATGGTTGCTATTTTTAATTTTTGATTTCACTCTCTTCGGATTTCAGATGGTCTAAAAGGCAGTAGAGCTACACCAACAACAAGTTATGCATCCCAATGGAAGTATGTTGTAAATTCCGTAGCCAAACAGGTTTCACAGGTTTGAATATAATCTCTTTATACAGAGGTGGTTCTGCTTAGAAGAACAAAAAAAAATGGCATTAAAGTGTTATGAAGGTATTTATGTAAAGATAGATAGTTTAAGATTCAGCAAATTGAAAAAAAAGGAATATTAAATCAGCCAATCGAAATACTTCAACTTGGTATTTGAGGATCAAACATAACCTGTATTTTCAAATTGCAGGTGCCTTTGTCTTTGTCGATAAGGGTTGCATCCCTTCGAGGAACGCTGCGGTTATATATAAAGCCAACCCCTTCCGATCAGTTATAGTTTAGCTTCACGTCCATGCCTGATATAGAATTTGTCCTCGAGTCTTCTATTAGGGAACACAAGATAAATAGTGGACATATTGCTTTATTCTTGATCAGTCGGTTTAAGGTATGAATATCATTTGTTTGTTGAAAAACATATCCTACCGTTTCATTTTATTCTTTGGATTGATTATTTAAATTTCCCCATGAAGCATTGACTATCCTGTGACGGTGTACGCTACAATTTTGGCACACCAATCAAATGGAAGAGTAAAAATGGGTGATTTTTACAACAAAATTCGTGTTTTAAAAGTGAAAAAAGTTGTGATAAAACGAAGTGATTATTTTCTCTACTTTTGCTTGTGCATGTGAAACAAATAAAAATTGAAAGATGTCCCTAGTTTTAGATATATTCATCTTAATTTTATTTGGTTTTAAAGCAATTTTATCTACTGAGTTTACATCATTTAACGTGTAATTAGGAACTAAGCAATTGACAACGGCATTATATGTCCATATAAATAAAATTCCCTATGCCACCAGCTGTCCCTTAGGAAGATAAATAAAAGGCGTACGATCCCACTTCATTGACTAATACACCTTATGTTCTAAAGCGTTGTAAGAGGGAAAGGTTTTAACTTGTTCACTGAATATTATGAATTCCTTTTCCATTCTCTTTTTGACTCGAAACACGCTTTTTCTGACATAGGAAAATTTGTGGTGGATTTTGCTTTATCTTCTTTTAATTTGTTACGGGTGTTTTCTCCACATTAATAATTTCTTGGAACCATTGGTCTTTTTCTACTTATTTGTAGTCATTTTGAAATCTTAAGACTGAAGATGATATGGTTCTTGATGCTGCATGTGACTAAAATTTTGTTGGCTAATGCCTTTTCAATTATTTATATAATACAATTACTTCTAATTACCTGCATCTTCTTACAAGTCCACTCATGCCTATCTCAAGTATTTTCCATTGAGATATGATCAGATCTGGAATGATACTAGACCTACTTTTCAATATTTGCTTCAGCCATAGAAAACACATAATGAGCTATGTCACAATTTTCATTTGCTGAACTTTGGCATCGATACTATGAAAGAAACTGGCCAAGTGAACTTACAGCTGATGTTTCCATTATTTGTGCAGGCAGCTATACGTGAAAGTGCTTCCAAACTGTGAAAGTACATGCATTCCTTGGATGTTAACAGAGAAATATGATTGGGTCCCAAGGGAAGTTGCCCCATTTATATGGCTTAATCTAGAGGCACCAGTCACCAGTCGTCGAGTCACAGAGTCTGAAGCATGGTCATCAAGAAGCTCTTCAGCAAAGAGTAGGTCCTTGCAAGATCTAAGAACTCCCCTTCTTGAAACTGATGAACCACATGAAATGCATCAGCAGAATATAGAGGAAAGTTCAGATTCTGTGTCAGTATCTAGGTCTCTGACTGAGTCTGAAAGGCAGAGTGATGTAGGTGATGACAATGATTCAAGGCCAAAGAAGACGGGGAGGAGGGCAAGGGTGATGGATTTGACAAAGAAAATGGGAGAGAGGTTCGAAGAGAAGAAGCGTCACATTGAAGAAAGGGGTAGGCATATTGTTGAGAAAATGAGAGGACCCTGAGACCAATTGAAACGCGAACTCACGGCATTCTTTCTTTGATCCTGACAATTACTATTGTCATTATAGGTGGGATGAATGTGGGTTATTGCCTAGCTCTGATTCAATTACATTCGTTTATCAAATACAGTGAGTGTTTCATTTTACATTTTTAGTTCCACATTGCCAACAATTAGATGTCAGAAGTAAGCAATTGAAAGAAATTAAACTGTGGACAAATTATTTCATCCTTCTTATTTCTAGAAAATACAAATTGATTTTATGCATTTACAGGCTAAACGAATGAAAAAATTGGTTACATCCATGAAAGCTGAAGCTGAAAAGAAGAAAACCAACAAACCAAAGGACCCCATCCAATCCAACACTAAAATCACTATTTTATCTACCCTCAGCTGTTAGTGGTATTGTAGGATAATTTTACAATGACCGATAATGGAATGCCGAGCTTATGGCCTCGGTCTCCAAAAAGTCCAATCCTCCCAAAGCTTGCCACAGAATGGTTCATTGTTGCATTAAAGATTATTGTCAAGACCTGCTTCTCTCCCATGCCAATGAAGAATCGAGTTGGAGTCACCTTCATCGACACCCCGTATGGAGCACTCCAGCCGATTTTGTATGTTTCATTGCCAGCAATGTTAGTCACTGTTTTTTCAACCATTTTAGACTGGTTCAGTCTAGCAATGGTAATGGATGGCAGGTTTAGGTCAGCACTACCAATGGTAGAATTACAGCCCCAACAGTTTTGACCAGTGTAATTCAAGATCACTGGACCAGAACCATTGATGCCGCAAAGAAAAGACATATAATCATCGTAAGCTGCAACAAGCAAGTACATATATAGTAAGAATGAGATGTACATTGAGACATAACTACTGAAGAATGTCTTATAGACAAAAGCAGAATGACTTACTCATATCCAAGATCAGACCAGGATCAAGGGCTGAAGTAGCATCCACAAAACCACTGCCCATGTCGAATGGCGTTGCTGGAGACTGATTTACATCAGGATCAGCATAAACACGCTGGGCCATTATGGGGCCACCACTCTTGTCATAAAGAGAAGCAGTTGTTGAGAGTGCAGATGCGATGGCTGCAGGGCTGAAATGAGGAAACTTTTGTTTTACCAGTGCAGCAAGCCCAGCAATATGAGGAGCAGCCATGCTTGTTCCAGACATCATTGCAAAGCTTTCACCTAAGAAGTCAAGTTAATTGTTTAAGAATAATGTACCTCATATAGAATTTTAACTGAACTATCCATTACTTCACGATTCTAATACCTTGAAATTCAACCGAATCTGTACCAAGTGAACTCCAGGCAGCCCATATCATATTTCCAGGAGCAACCAAGTTAGGTTTCATTATGTCTGCATCATCTAGAGAACTGTCTTCAGGATCTGGTCCTCTAGCCGAGTAATACATAACCTTCGGAGCAGTAATGCTATAGTTTGCTTTCAGTCCACCTGAAATGGTAGCCACTGCCCCAAATCTAGCAATTTTCCTTGCAAGTCCTTTTCTCTCCAAAGAAGAATTGTAATATTGGAGTAAAATCTGCTCAAGACAATAATAAAAATCAGTAATTTTTCTGATTGTGTTTGTGTCTGTGCATGTATGTAGAGGTAGTGGAAGGGTACTCCAAATTCTAACACTGGTAACAATTTATCAGATGTTTTAGAAATAATTTCCAACATTCTCCCACCATATTCAATTAAAAATAAAGAAACAAGACATGAGAAATAATAATAAAATTTGTATGTGCCTTGCGGAAGTAATATGTAGAATCTGCACCTTGGAATCCTCTGGGGATGGAATTATAATGCCAGGCATTTCCAATGGTGTGGGATTAAGCTGAAAACCAATTACAAAAGAATCCATGAAGAACACAACTCCAGCTGCACTGAGGTTCTTTGCAGTTTCTAGGGCCTGCTTGATTGTAGAGAGTCCAAGCACAAATCGGATTGAATAGCTACAGATTAACAGGTTTCCTTGGATAAGTTCCTCATTGAAGTTACTGGAGTCTTGGCACTCGCTCACATACATATCATTGGCAAGTGGTGTGTCATTGCATAGAGCATGAACTGCCGATATCAGTGTATACATTTTATTCGTATCAGTCCCCGCTGTCAAAAATAAAAGAGTAAGAAAGTAAGTATTATGTAAGCTTAGTAATAATGGATACTCTGCATGACATTTATAATAACGCAATTCCATAAATCAATGGATTAGTGGCATAGGCTTTGATATATAAGGATCGAACTACTAATCATAAATTTCAGGAGTGAAACAATTAGTTAATGAAGGGGAGAGAGGAATTTATAACAAAAATCCTGCACAGAAAAGGAATATGCATGGAAAAATAGTTAAAGTAACAAAGCAGTACAAGAAAAATACTTTTAAGTATAGCCATAACAGGCAACATCCTTTCGATGGGTGATCATGCAAGTATTAGTTTAATCATCCCATGACTTCTGTATAATTCATATTTATCAGTCACTCGATGAAGGGGAGAGAAGAATTTACAACAAAAATCTGGCACACAAAAAAGAATATGCATGGAAAAATAGTTAAAAATAACAAAGTAGTATAAGAACAAGTATGTTGAGTTTGGTATAGCCATAACTAGGCAGCACCCTTTCGATGGGGGTGATCATACACGTATTAGTTATTATTAATCATCCCATAACTTTTTGCATATTTCATATTTACCAAATCACATGATTTGACAATTTACTCTACCCATAAGGCATGTTAACTTTCAAACTCGTATGACATTTGTATCACACGACAATCATGTATAGTATTACGACTACAAATTTTACTTGTATTAACAAATATAAATTGTAGAAAATGATACGAAAAGATATAAACAAGCTGTCAATTTGAACATCTCAAAACATGTCCCTTATTGGGCACTTCTTCTGCCTCAATTTTGTAGAAAACATTGTTTTATACCGATGCTTCTTCTTTTTTTCCTTTCCCAATTTGTTAAAGCATGCTTAACAAATCCATCGGATAAATAGAGAAGTCAATAGATCTGAAAGGAAAACTTACGTGCAAGTCCAACTCCAGGGATAGTTACATTGTTTCCAAGGATGATGGAGTTAGAATATGCTCTGTCATGAGAGGCAGCACCAACGGTGAAGATCCATGGACTGAAAGAAGACATGCTCTTAGGTGATGGCCCAGTATTGCCAGCAGCTTGCACAACAAAAATGCCAGTCTTTACAGCAGATAGCAATGCCATGTCGATGGGATTGAAAAATGTTGCAATACCAGGTGGACGCCTGTTGGGAGTTATTGATAAGTTTATGATGTCAACCCCATCTTGAGCTGCCTGAAAAAGTATCATGATAAAGCAATCGATAATTGGTGCCAAAATGGTTGCAGTGAAAGGAAAGATTCTATCTCCATGCGTAATTCTTACAAATAAAAAAAAGTATTTTCACTGTAGCCAAAAGAATTATTGCCCAAGAAGATCCATTACTTCCCCCATTGATATTCTGTGGTCTACAAGAAGGATGCAAGGTCCATTTTTACCTACGGGTTTTATTTCCTTCATTGACACTGATTTAACAAAAGGACTTCTTCTAAAACAAAGAAGCCTTGTCAATTTGGTTCAAATGTAGAAAAAAAAGAGGCTTCTTATAACAATGGACACTATTTTTCTTTTTCTTTTTCTTTTTTTTTTGGTGGGTTTAGTGTTTGAAGGGTTATAGCATGAAACTGCAGATAAAATCTGAGTTATAATATCAGTTCCCAAAAGCAAGTCTCTAAATGTTCATCTTCAAATGGTTATGAATGAGTACATAACCCAAATACTACTCAACACTTGAATTTCAAACCATGATGTACCTGATCTATAGCAGCAACTACATCTGCAGCAAATCCTCCAAAGCTCTTATACAAAGCCTTGTAAACAGCAATACTGGAAAACATGGCCACATCATTAGTATGATTAAGTAGAAATACTGGCTCAAAGTATAGCTTTGGTAGATAATTGAAAAGGGGATCCGAAAACTTACTGTGAACGGGGAGCCATCCCACTAGCATTTCCAAAGTGGTGCCCAGCAACCACCACTGGAATCCCATGGTTTCCTGCAGCAACAGAAGCTGTGTGCCTGCGTTAATATTATATCCATTGGTAACATTAGAAGATTGAGTCAACCAATAATATCAGGTCAGCACATAAGCAGGTAGCCAGAAGTTATTGCATATCATTCAGCATTGACACTATTGTGGTAAGCATAGGTCCATTGTTCATACATTATGTGAAAAGAAGGTTGTCTATAGCATTTAACAATTATTATTCAAGAAAGTAAACGGCCATCTTTGAGATTCCAACATCAAGCAATTTGCTTCACATTATTACATTGACGAAACAACACAACTTCTATTGCATTGGGAAAGACAATATGATACATTTTTTAAATCAATGGCAGTATGGCACTAAACAGGAACAGGTGTGCAAAGCACTACCCTTAAAAATCTAGGAACAAAATAAGGGAAAAGAATGTCACTCTAACACATATATAGGCTTATCTAATAATTACGAGCATTGTCCACATAGGAGCAAGGAGGGAAGAATATCAAATATATAATCTAAGTCGGTTCTTCCAACAGAAAAGAGAAGGATGATCAAACATGTTTATCTGTAACATATAGAGCTAACAATTTTCTCAAGGGATTGGAAAAATGTGTGGAAATCTTGACCACAAACCACAAAAAATTCTCATAATAGCATCTTTAGTCTAGTGATATAGAGCTCACAAGTTTCTATTGAAAACTTACAAGTTTTTTTAGCATATAGAGCTTACAGGTTTTTATTGGGAACTTGCACGTTCTTTGTAGAATATGGAGCTTCCAAGTTTCTACTATTTTTTCTAATAAATTCCCATAATAGCATCTTTTTTCTGGTGGTACCTGGTTAGTAGCATAGTTAAATTTATTTACGTCAATATTTATAATATAAATTTTCTATAAGTTCATCTCAATGTTAAGTTTCTATCTAAGATCACCTGGTTAAAGTTGTTCCTTATCTCCCCTCTAATCTTAAAGCAATTAAAAAATT